TCTTTAACCTCTGTTTATTAAACGAGCTTCCTTTTTTTATTATTATGTAAAAAACCTAAAGTATTTTTAAACCCATTTAAAAAAAAATATAAAGGAGCTAGAAGCTTCATTATCTCTCCCTATAGTTGCAAGGGAAATGGAGTAGGTCATTTCAAGGAGTGGTGTGCCCTTAGGCTCATTATCCTAGCTGGGGATGGGGGGAGCACATGTCCTGTCGCCTCCCCCTTAGCTACGATCCTGAGCCACTGTTTAATATAATACTTCGCAATTTGAACGATTAAAAATGAGTTTTCATTGTTCACACTCTTCACACTAACATTCAATCAACGCATTTTTGTTGAATTAAACTTCTAACCCCAAAAACATACAATACACCTATGCATATAATGCATAAAATGTATTAAGAATATACCTTGAAGTCAGAATTCATAAAGGAATTCAGTTTTTGCCACAAACTCAAATTTTGTAATCTTTATAACTTTGCATCTTGTTGACCTGCAAACCTATAGATATTTCAAACTTTGATTGTTTGATCTAACATAATTCATAGTTTGAAATTTCTTAGATCTACTACATTAGGTTGCAAAGATATAGGAATGAGAAAATCGGAGTTTGTGGCAAAGACGCAATTCTTTTGCTTGAACAATAATCTAATAAAGAATTAAAATGTCCATCTCTCCGGAGCTTTCTACTGATTTTCTTTATTTCTAAATTTCAACATTCAAAGTTTAGAGTTTGTAGAATTTAATAAGCTTCATAGTAGAAGAAAAGCAAACTTTACAAGAAGTTAATTTAAATTTCAAAGGAAATCTTTCTTTCCTTGCTTGAAGGGCTATTAACATAATCCTATTATTTAAACCTTTTTTTTGGTATCGAGCGCTGACTACGTTTAGTATACGTCTTTCGGGGACAACCCTTTCCCATTAAATTTTTCATCATTTTGCCGTGTAATTTTTTTTCAACTAATGGAGGAAAATGTTTAGTCTTATATCTTTTGGGAAGGGGAATGGACAATCCCTCCTCTTCTAAAGATCTAATTCGCTTCTTTCAATGTTAAACATAAAAGCTTACAAATCTATGTACTAATTAATTTTTGGGGGTTACTTTTGCCATTAAACAAATTTCGGTCGTTTTACAGTGTATTACAAATGTGTAATTTTGTATTACTGAAAATCCTCTAAAACAATACATTTTTTAGAACTGTGCTTCAGATTTTGAAATCTTATTTTAACTTCAAAATTAGCTAAAAAATTTAAAATAGTCATGACAAATTTTTACCCTCCAAAAAAACATCTTGGACCCCAAATCTCAAATACCTATAGTCTACAATTTAAAAAATGTATTTTCTTAACCCGTTTGGTTTTCTCTTTGCGCTTGGGGTCATCTAGGGGGATCAAATTCAAAAAACCAATTTTGAGACCCAAAATTCTAAACCATATCAATATGGGAAAAAAATTTACGACAATTAAGCAAAAATTAATGATATAAGAGTAGTCTTAGCCGACAAGGTTTTCATTTTTTATTTTCTCCAAAATCCCGACAGGGGTTTTTTCACCCTAACTCATTTGTTTTAGGACGTATGGTTTTGCTTGGTGGAAATACAGTGTGCAGCACAGTGTAGGATGCTGTGATATTAGGTACTTTCCCAAAGCATTTTTTCCAAGTGGCAACTTCCCAAATGTTCAAATTCCTAAGCGGCACCTTCCCAAGTATGCCCTAGCCGCAGCGCTCGGTCCCCATCCTTTTCTAGCCGCGGCGCTCGGCCACCTAACCCATCATAGTCGCAGCGCTCGGCCCCCATTGCAGTCCGCGGCGCCTAAGAGGACCTAACCTAATCTTTGGGAAGTTGCCGCTCGGGGAATTGCATGTTAGGGAAGTTGCCACTTGGGAAATTGTCACTTGGGAAATTGTAATTTGGGAAGTCGCCCTTGGGAAATTGCCTTTGGGAAAGTACCTAATTCACCGTTATTGTTACTGATGATTGAGTTCTATGTATGCTCTTTATCAGGATAAAGTATAAAGCTTCCAAAAATACCGTTGTGAATCGGGCAATGTCATCTTCACATGGAGGGTCACTTAGAATTACGCTTACAGTCCCTTTAAGTCCAATTGAGAATCCTTTCTCAATTGTATTTCAACAAGTCTAACCATACATAATAAGAAGATTGTTTAAGAGTAAAGAAGTTTAGCGTAGAACACAAGGTTTAAACTTTGATAAGATTTACCTCTACAAAATATAAACTTAAGTTTAGCACAATACATTGAATATTCTACAGTTTAAATTCCTGCACAATTTAACGTCACGACATTTTAGTCATTCTTTAATAGAACTTTGAACATAACTGCTCTCCGCTACTTAAAATAAATATAATTGAAAAACCATGGCTCTGAATTTCCCCAAACACTTGATCCATACTAAATTCTTTAATCTTCATCATTGAAAAACAGATTTAATCAAGAATGTATAACACACTAAACTAGGCAGATGGAGGAGGTCAAATTTGTGCGTCATTAGTGGTACAACTCTGTGACCTAGGAGCCGGAGTTACTCTAGTTCTGATTTTACGCACATGAGGAGTTATTATTGTGAACATAAAAGATTTAACTCTCACGTGGAATTTACCTTAGTTTTACGTGATTAAAAGACTGAATTTATAATACTTTAATTTCAACTTAATATTGACGGTGTATCATGCAGCACATTAAACTTCGAACAGATAGATGGCGCTGGATTTCAGTTTACACCCGTTTGCTATTTGACGAAGACAAAACCACCTAACGTAAGACCATATGCATGACTGTTACACCAACGAATAGAATAACATTCGAGACTAAAAACTAAAAACTAAAAACAATACAAAAAAAATTTAAACAAGATCAAGACTGAAAGAATAAGACCAAGACTCAAAACAAAGCAAAGAGTAGTTCAAATAGGCCTATGATAAGCCGGGTACTGTAAAAAGTCTGGCTGCGCCATCATAGTTGAAACCGGGAAATGTTCGGGTTCATGCCGCGTATCAATAAGGCCGTTTCAGGAGGTTGGGACGGTTCAAATTCAAATTGACCCTAGTCCACTGCTGTAGGTATAAAATGCCCCAGTTTTATAAAATAAAAGTATATAGTGTCAAGTTCTAAGGTAGTGAGATTCATGAAAAAAATAAAAAGTGAGATTTGAAAATCATAAAACCTTCAATACCATTTTCTTTTTAAAAAAACATAAAATTTTCGCTCAAAAAGAAGGCATTTTATACAAACACAGTTCCACACTCAAAGTTTAATTTTTGTATAGGAAATGAGTCTCAAATTGTCTTATCCCTTTATCTTTGACACCTAATGGTGTAATTCTTTGATATTTCAAGTGTAGATTATTTGATCTAACAGAATTCACAGTTTTAAATATCCAAAGTCTACAACATTGGGGTTCAAAGATATAGATATAAAGACATTTGAAAATAGAGTTTGTGGTAAAGACTCAATTTATTTTTTTTATAAATTCCTTGCTTTGTTCTGCTTAATAAAATTTAAGGATGTATGACTATCACAATAATTGTATATATATAGGAATGATTTAGACAATGGTCATGGTGCAGTTGTAAAAAAAATGTGAGACAATCTACCTCCCCATTATTTGTACCCTCTCGACCTATTGATATAATCTCTTTATCAAGTTAACCTTCTACCCCCCCTCCTATGTACATATAATTAATATATATTTTATACTACCTCCTCAAATACTCCCACATGCATTAATATTTATGTGATGAACAAATATTATTATCAATTATGGTAATTATATTCAAAGAAAGTAAATATTTATTTTTCACCTTTCCCTACAATTGCACAAAATCTTATGTTTTCAATCATAACACATCATATTGAAGAATAAAGAGCTATTGAGATAAACAAAAATGTTATTTTAATAAGTAAATGGATAAATTTTCATTCCTCATAGTATTGCATTCAGTCAATATTGTATAAATAAAGCAGAAACTCAATAGGACTAGCCGGTGCAACAAGGTTGACGCGGTCAGACTTAAGGTTGAATTTACTTTTACTAAAGGGTCAGAGGCTACGAAGTCATACCATTAATGCTCGCATAAAATTTGACTAGTTCACAGTGTTCTTCCTTAAAACTTGAGTTTTCCCTCAAATTTCAAATATTGTAGATATACAATAATTAATATTTGGATCAGTTTTAAAGGTTATAATTTCCATGTTCGTTTATTAATAACTTCAATCGAAATATAATAGATTAACCCCCCCCCCCCCCCCGGCACATCCCCTTCTCGATTTCCTTTACTCTGTTCTTCTCCTCCTCACCCTAACTCGATCCTTCTAACATTGACGCTTCTGTCGTATAAATTTTACTGTGTTAAATACGGAAGCTTAAGTTTATGAATTTCAAATACAAAGTTTACAACGCCTTTTCCTTATCAAGAACCCAAACCCTTTCCTTATCTGACAACTACTCCCAACCCTGCCCTTCTCCCCAGACCAACATATTTAGCATAAGCTAAGCTCGTATGGATTTAACGCAAAGGAATGAGATTTTGCCCCTAACTCTGAATTTTCCAATCCTTACATCTTTGCATCCTGATGGTGTAAAACTTTGATACTTTAAACTTAGTTATTTTGATTAAACATAATTCATAGCTTGAAATATCCTAGGTCTCCGACATTTGGCTGCAAAAATACAGGTATTAGAAAATCAGAGTTTGAACCATCACGGTGTAAAATGCAAACTTTTAGTCATGAAAAGTTAGCAAGTCAGTAGTTTAATCATAATTAGGTAAAATGCAACAGAGAATATTGAAAACATTACAAATTTAAGAATAACTTGCAGAAAATATAAAATGATTCGAATAACATCATCCTAAAATAGAAGATAGCTTAAAACATAATTGACTTATCTAAAATATTATGTGAGGATTAGTTCCATGAGCTTCTGATGGTTCTTGATAAAATTTAAAACTTTTTTGATATAAATTTATTGTTGTCTGATCTAGAAGTTTTATCACAGCATATATGAGATCGTGTACAAATGGTTTATAAATTATTTACAGTAGTTTTCAAAAAAAAGTTATCATGAAATGTTATTAAGGATGATGTAAATTGTAGCTCAAATATTTCTAGCAATTTAGACCATATATACCAGTTTTAACAGTTACAAAATCCTTACGGACTATGCTTAACCAAACAAAAAGATAGAAAATTATTTTATAGTTATGATTATTTCCATACTTTTAATTGTACATTTTTAGGAATCTTTAAAACTTGGCACGCTAATAATAAAAAATGAGAACACTTACATAATGCAATTTTGTTAAACGTAGTATTTAAATGAGTGAATGCATCTTTTAAGAATAAAAAATCTAAAATTGTAAAAATTTACAAATTTATGTAATTTTAACATTTTAAAAATTGTTAGTTTTGTATGTATTATATATATCGTACTAGTACATATACGTCGGATCTACAAAGGTCAGACGGTACCAAGGTCGGACGGTACAAACGTCAGACGGTACAAAGGTCGGACGGTACAAACGTCAGACGGTACAAAGGTCGGACGATATTAAAAGTCGGTCTTTTCATTAAAGCAAGTATTCGGCCGGCAATCTACATGATAGGAACGAAATTATTTTTCTTTAAAATGAGGTTTTCTTAAACTCACATTGTTTCAAATCTAGTAGATGCGGATATTTCCAAATCTTCAAGTTTTTTCTTACAACATTTGAAAAGCCGACGTTCTTACCGTCCAACGTTTGTACCGTCCGACGTTTGTACCGTCAAACGTTTGTACCGTCCGATGTGTGTTACCTGTACCCACAGGGCAGTCGAGGTCATAAATAATATAACAGTCAAAACTTTTAAAACAAATCATGATTAAGCATTTAGAACGAATGAAAAATAGAAAATACAGAGAAGAAAAAATTGAAACTTAGAGTTGTATATGTATAAATACTAGGTATTATATCTGTATCTATCTATGATATACTTTAATCGAAAGTTCTTATAATTTTTGCGAACTCTCAGTAAAATTGTGATAAAAATGTTCAATTCATCTTTAAGGGTTTTAAACATATATAACTTAATCATTTTTTAGATAATTGACCTGCATCCTTTTAGAATTTACAGATAGCAAAAATTAAAACTGGAATGATTAAAATGGAATAGGGGTTTACAGTGATAACCAGAAAACTCTGAAATATAAAGATGACTTTTAAAATCTAGTTTAACCTATAAAAACTCACATAAGGATGAGACACAGCATTTGTGCATCATGCAACAATACCCATTTCACTAATTTGGTGATTTAATAAGGTCTAGTAAAACTATTTGCTTTGTAACAACATCAAATACACTTAATATTGCTATGATGTCGTCTTCTTATTCTATTGTTTTCTGGTTATCACTGTATGGCTGAAAAATTTAACGTGCCTACGGTTTTTATTGGGGGGGGGGGGGATACAAAACAGTGTAATTGTATTGTTTTCAATAAACCGATGATGCTAAACCTAAAGCATGATCAGTTATAGCTTTGTAATTCTCATCAACAGATTCCTCATCCTCAGCTGCATCACTCGTTACATCAATATAGTCATCCTTGTTAAACATATCATCCTCAAGTACATCAGAGTCAAGATCTTCATCATTATAACCAGTGTTTTCCACATTTTCTGAACAAGTGTACAGTGAAACTTCATTGCGAATACTTGGAAAACTTGTCACTCCTTCCCCCTCCGTACAGAATACTCTGGATTCCCCTGTAGTACTCTTGTCTGGTATTGATTGATAAATGTCTGTATGTTTAGAATAATTCATAAAGGATTCAGAACTGGAAAGATTCTCAAGACCAGTGTGAATTTTGATCGGTACCTTTGAGTAGGGATTTATCAACTTTGGATTGAGAGTCCTTGGAGCAATTTTATGGTATTTACTCCGCTTTTTACCATTCCCAACGCTATGTGTAGTATTTACAGGCCTACTGTTGAAGATTTGACTCTGACTAGTGTATACTGGATGCTGGAATAGATATTGAGGAGACACTAAACTAAACTCAGGTTTAACCGCCCACACATCACACGATCCTTTCAATACAGGAGGCGTTCCCTTCTTCCGGGGTATAATCTTGGCATATCCTGACTTAGAGTTTAGGTTTGAGGCATCATACTGGTCGGACAGGTCGTCGTAGCTATGTGAAGAAGCTGAATGTCGACTGAGTCGTGGTTTATGAACCCGACCACTAGCCTGGTAAGGAGTCGAGGTCAGAGGAAACTCTTTGTCGCCAACCTGAAAATATGCATTCAAAAATATTTTGATAAAGGAATTGAGTTTCAACTACAAACTCAAATTTTAAAATTCTTATATTTTTATAAGAAATTAGATTGCAAAGAAAGAGAGATTTGATAATCAGAATTTGTGGCAAAAAAAAACTATATTCTTTATACAAATTAATTTAATATTTTGGCTAGAGATTAGTTTCTCTCGTCAGCTTTGGCATATTTAAACCCTGAAGTTTACTTGTTCGTACTTATTAACCTTTCACAGACTTACTTAGTTTTCTTAGTTTACTTAGTTTCTTAGCTCGGTATACTTGCATATCAAAATAGAATCGGCCGAACTACGTTCAAAATCTCATGGGAAAATTTGCAATAGTACGTTGAAAGGACTAAGAGTAATTTCAAGTGACTTTTTTTTGCAAAAACGGCTATGCCCGGTTAAAAACGATACCCTTGAAACCTTCAACTGATGTATAATGTGGAAGATATTGTTATTTTTCTGTCTGATAAGTGTTGAAATCTGAAAACTCCTATATGTTTTCCTGCAGAAGAAATTCGCAAGTCACTTTTGTAGAGAAACCACAGTTGAAAAAGATCAGTTTTCTCAATTTTATACATTGATATCTAATTCATACTTATTCAGAAATAGCCCTTTAGAGTATAGTTGGGGAAAAGGCATGGTCATCCTCTTTGCATGATGGGTCACTTGAATTTAGGCTTACAGTCCCTTAGAGAGGAAATAAACTTAAAACTATCAGTAATGAATGTTTTTGTTTGAAAACAAACTATAGTTAAGAACGTTAATGACATAAACAACTAGATTAAGTTATTTGAAAATGAATCTTCATAATGTTAATGTTGAAAGAAAAGAAGGTTAAGCTTGGGGTCGTCATAATGTTAATGTTGAAAGAAAAGAAGGTTAAGCTTGGGGTCGTCATAATGTTAATGTTGAAAGAAAAGAAGGTTAAGCTTGGGGTCGTCATAATGTTAATGTTGAAAGAAAAGAAGGTTAAGCTTGGGGTCGTCATAATCAAATGTTTAAGATTGAATAGTAGATTATTGAGTGAGTATGAGCTTGCACAGGGAATGAATGGAAGAAATGGGGTGAGGGTGAGAGTTTAGTTGTGTTTGAAAGATTGAAGCAATAAGGAACCCAGTGGGTGTATAATATGCTCTACAGTCTATAGGATAGAATAGGATTGAGTAGGCGAGAAAATTGGATTAAATCATGGGAAAACTCCCAGTTGGAAACTCATTCAAAGAAATAAACCTTTTTTCAAAAAAAAAATACAGTGAGACCCATAAAACTGTGAAACTAGTAAAAATGAAAAACAACAACAGTGTGAAGTGCATGATTTATAGTGTTACACAGACCCATTTTCTTATTAAGATAATTTTCAAGCTAACGTTTATCTATTTACTGTTTAACAACATCAAGTACACAAAGGATGGCTTAAATATCGTCTTTATATTCCACAGTTTTATAGATCCCGTGGATAAACAATAACCATTAACTAAAATCAGACTTAATAAATTCGATCCTTAATAACACACATAAAGTTTTTCCCCCCACATCACAACACTAGCACATCCAAGTCAAATACTAAAGAATTAACATACAGTGATAACCAGAAAACTCTAAAATAGAAAGACGACATTAAAGCAATTCATAAGTATGTCAGATGTTGTTACAAAGCAAATAGTTTTACTAAGGCAATTATCAAATCACTTATGAGTCTGTTTACACTGCACAATGGCTATGTTCATTGGATCATTTAAAATCATAATTTGAGTCTAAAAGTTGTCTTTCTATTCAAGAGTTTTCTGGTGCTCACTGTAGAAGTGTAAAAAGGATCGATGATCGATCCCAAAGTAATATAAAACTTACGAGATATCTTGATTCGTAGACAGAGGAATTGGTCTGAGTTCTCAGAATATCCGTGGAGGCGTATGGAGCTAAATCCTGGGTTTTACTTTCTGGTTTAGATACTCCGTAGTTGGATATAGTGAAGGAAGCAAGTTTGGTTCGATCTATGTATATATATTCATTCTCCGAAACCTGGTTCCCACCCTGCTCAAGCAAATGCTTTTCAGACGAATTTGAACCCTCAGCGCTATCCTCTCCGTTCCATCGCCGGTCTATCCATAAACTTTGATTTTTGGTAGGTGCAGAGTCAAGGGTGGGAATCGGAGAAGTTTTCTCTTGAAAAATCTGCTGCTTAGAAAACTTTCTTCTGTAGAAATAAATAGCACCAGCAATAAGAGCCAGAGCGATCAGAAAACTTCCTACAAGGGCTCCAATCCACATTGAGCCACCATCAGCTCCTATTCTTAAATCCGTCCCATACTTATAAAGAGATCCGTAAATTAAACCTAATGATAACTTCTGCTCCATTGGGATTGAATACGGTCCCACCCCTGCTTTATTAAACGCTGCTATCTCTATTGACACAGTGTGTATATCAACAAGATTAAGATTAAGCAGATTGACATACACGGATACGTCCGAAGGGTCAGCGATTACACTCGTTAGCTCATGTCCAGATCCATTTACTCGTATTTTATATCCTTCCAAGAATCCGTTAGCAAACTCCTGGGATAACTTACTCCAGACTAGGATGAACCCATCCTCTGTTAGTGTTATGTTTTGTATTGATGGAGATGTACTAGGTAACCCTTGCTGGGTCTTGGCAGTCCTGGATGCAGAGGGTAGACCCAGGACGGATTTGTAGAAGGGAGTAACAAAAACCTCGTATTCAGTGTTCATCTGGAGACAAAACAATATTTGGTTTTTTAGATGAAAAATAATTTATAGATTTGTATCGACTAATTGAATGATTTGAAAAGGTTTTCAATGTAATTCTTAGTGGCCGCTCTAGAGATAGGCACGTCTGGAAATTTGAGGGTCATTTTAAGTTTCATTAAAAACTTTTAGAATATAATGGTGGAAACATTGAAAATAAACTTTCAGTTTATTTAAACTGAAAGTTAATGCCCTTAATTTGAATTGACATGAATCTTTAATAAACATAGTTTCAATCAATGTTTAATAGACTGAGTTCAAAGTTCGAATTCAAACCCCGACATTTAACAACTAAAATTAAATAAAAAATAGTTTTATCTCCTTAATACAACAAAATTATAATTATAAATAAGAAATTATTCAAAAAGTTAAAAGTTAATCAAAATGAGTTAATCAGTGAAGAAATGAGTTAATCAGTGAAGAAATGAGTTAATCAGTGAAGAAATAAATGAGTTAATCAGTGAAGAAATGAGTTAATCAGTGAAGAAATGAGTTAATCAGTGAAGAAATCAGTTAATCAGTGAAGAAATGAGTAGGTTGAGTTAAACTTGTTTAAACATTAATTAGATGAGGTCATCAAACTCGATATGAATGAAATAGGTGTAAAAAGCTAAACTCTGAAGAGGAGAGAGAGAGTTTTGAACACAGGAGCACAAAACTTAAGACAGGCCGGGTATCGGTATGAAACCCAGTATCGGAAACCGGGTTCACGAATGGGGTTAGGAAATTTTGTAGAAATTAATATATTTTTTAATAAATATTATTTTACATGTTTAGTTTTATGTTCTCTCTTTATTATCTACTTCTTGATGTAAATCTACAAAAATGTATTGTATGTACTCCAAAAAGGAAAACTCGGAATTTTCGTTTAACGATAAGATTCTCTTTTTTAAATTTCCCGCTCAGGATTCTCCGGACTAAGCGAAGCTAGCATCATTTACACACACACACATTTCTTCGCGGACCAACTATTTGTAAAAAGCCGAAGGGCTTGTGATGAATTGCTTGAGGTATAAGGCGGACCATGAAAAAGCGTTGAAGATTCATAACTCATTTTCAAACTGTAGGATTTGTTATACAGTACATACAACCAACCGAGCTCTGACATTTATGTTATACAGTACATAGAACAAACCGAACTCTGACATCTATGTTATACAGTATATAGAACCAACCGAGCCTTGACATCTATGTTATACAGTACATAGAACCAACCGAGCTCTGACATCTATGCTATTCAGTACATAGAACCAACCGAGCTCTGACATCTATGTTGTACAGTACATAGAACCAACCGAGCTCTGACATCTATGTTACACAGTCATATAACAAACCGAGCCCTGACATCTATGTTACACAGTACATAGAACCAACCGAGCCCTGACATCTATGTTATACAGTACATAGAACCAACCGAGCTCTGACATCTATGACAAACGTTTTTACAAGCCTTTACTAAACTAACTAAAGATGTGTGGAGGGAGGGGGGGGGGGGGTGTTTACGTTCTATGTTTAAAAGTTAATTTCGATGTATGCCAATACCAATTAAGGCCAAGTTGAATATTGCTACAAATTCATAATAAAAATTTTCTAATCCTTACAACTTTGCAACCTGATGTGATAATCATTGATAATTCAGAGTTAGACAATTTGATTTAACAAAATTCGTAATTTGAAATATCTAAGAACTAAGGATATTGGGTTGTAAAGATAATGGGATTATACCAAAGACTTAATTGATTGTTGATTTAAAAAAATAATATTGTTTTTTCCTTCAGTCTGTTCAGATTATAGCTGGTAGCTCCAGCATGAAGAACCTTGATGCTTGTATACTCCTGACGGACTCGAGATTCTTTAAACTTGATAAAGTATCCGTCCAAGTACCTGGCCACCTGGTCCAACCTCCAGCTCACCTTCAAGGAGCTAGGTGACTCAGAAACCAGGGACTGCACTATCACAGTCTTCTCCATAAGGACAACCCTAGCATTGGCTAGATCTGGATCAGTATTCACGTGGTAAAACTTAGAGTGATCTGCTCCACCCTTGGTTATATTAAAATCAGATAAATTAAAGATTAAAACTTGAGATCTCTCTAGGGTTGCTCCTGCAGAGTTAACTCCGACACAGGAGAAGTGACCCGAGTTTTCTAGACTTGTGTTTACAAAGACAAGACTATTATTCCTTGCCATGTATATATTTCCATGTTCAACTCCTGGATACCACTCTGTCTGATCAGGTTCATGAATCCAGAATACTGATGGACTAGGACTACCAGCCACTACACAGTCCAGCTTTAGGATAGTTCCTACTTTAGTTTGTATATGTGAGGAAGGTTTAACAGTTATAACAGGAGGTTCCTCAACATGTATCATTGCACTAGCAGTTATCTTTCCGCCCTTGTTGTATGCTTCACAGATATAAATCCCTTGATCTGATGGGTGGATATTCATTATAGCTAAACCTTGTCCAGTCACTGCTTCCATATTTTCAGCCAACTCCTGAAAAAAATTAGTTTTAATCACAAAGACTATTTTCGTTTATATACTGTCAACAAATCATTTATATCATAAATTACGTTTTAAATAGCCAAATCGTTTTTTTAGAAAACATCCATCTTGCCAACTTTGTAAGAATTAAAAAGAAATTTCATATTGTACTGCTAGTCTGCACTTAAATAATTCTTTCTTCTAGGCCTCGACAGGAATACGTTTTACAATTTTAAAGAGTCATTTTTCAAGTAAGTAAATCAAACTTTAAAAACCTTTTTACAATTTAAGTACCTGATTTCCCTGTCTGGTCCAGCGAACTTCTGGTACTGGTTCTCCACCAACCTGGCAGTCCAGTACAATATCAGACCCAGCTACAGTCACCACATCCTCAGGTTGGGTCAAAAAGTACGGAGATTCTAGAAAGAAAGAAAAAATTTACAAACAAAAAAATCACAAAAGGGTTCCACACTTTTTTCATCAAAAAAGTTTCCGACAAGAAAACATTTCCTTCACAAAATCCTTTTCCCGAAAAAAATGTTTTATTTAACAAAGTGTTTCCGGACACATTATGTGTTCTGCCAGCTGCTACAAAGTGTTTTTAACCACAAAATATTTACTGCAAATAAGTATTTCTCCTAAATAATGTTTTTTTTAAACCTTTTAACAAATAGATTTTGATCATGACAGTATTATTGGCAGAAACGTTGTAGGTTAGATTGAAATTATAAAATTTTATAACTTAGATGGATTTACTAATTAGATTTTAGGTTAGAAGAGTGTTTTATCACTTTACCCAATCTTGGTTTTAGACCAGGTAAAATATACTGAAATGTTACAGACAACAGGTTGGTTTGATGGTTAGGAGTTTCGCCAAATCCCTCTAATTCATGATCAGTATCATCTAGATTTGTAAACTCAGTAGTATCTTAGCAGGCTGCAGTTTTACAGTTTTTGCAGTATTTTCCATATTGACTAAAACTTTTTTTTACTTGAATCCTGATTTTCTCAATCACTTTCTTCGTTTCTATCAGTTGCATGTAATTTTAAAGCGACGTTTTTTTAAATATCGTAAAAATTTGGAACGAATTTAATAAAGGAATTGAGTTTTTGCCACAAACTCTGATTTTCTAATTTCAGTATCCTTGCAACCCAATGTCGTAGAATTCTGTTAGATTAAAAAATGTAAGTTTGAAATATCAAAGGTTTACATCATAAGATATAGGTTTTACAAAAACTGAATTTGTGGCAAAGACTCAATTCCTTCATCATCGCAGATATTGATTTTATCTACATTTATCTACTTTTTATTAACCTTGCATAAAAGTATATATATAACTAAATGTTTACTTCTAAAGGTTTGGAAGGGTTGAGATTATACAAGTTTCAGAACATCAATCAAGCTTATTCATAATTACTCATTAAACTTACAACAAGTTCACCAACCCAACCCTCCTCTTCGGTCGAACATCGTAAATTCAAATAAAGAACGAAATTTAAGTAAAATTAACGAATTCACAGTCAAAGACCAAAAATAAATGAGGACTAAAAGAACCAAAAAATAATGAATGAAATGGACTATTCAGTGCCAATCTTCACCCCCTTATAAAACAGAAAATAATAAAAGACTCATAATTAAACGGTGGCTTGCGAGTAAGGGTAAATATCGCATTTTTTGCACAATTAATTGATGTAGCTTTAACAAAAATTTCGCTTTTTTTCTCGCTGGAAACCTTACTTGCAAGCTGCTCTATACTTTTGAAATAAAAAAACATTGCTTAGGATGTGTTAAGACATCCTTTAACTTTAAAGTGTAACCGTTCTTAATTGAAAATTATCAGGACTTTGCTAATTTAGCATCTTTACCCTATTTTTAAGAACGTTTTTAAGTTAATCCAGTTTATTTTAGGAATATAATTCCAGTCTTAAACTGCAAACTTGTTCAATGTTTATCCATATGTATTGTTTGATTCTAATACATCAATCACTCATATAAATATATTTCACACCTTTTTCCATCGTGCAGGGAAACTTGTGAATTTAAAGAGAACAAAGACATTGTTTTTAATTCAAGAATTAATTAACTTTACGACCTCTGAGCTTTAAAAAATGTGGTCTACTGTCTTTTGTATTTTAAAACAGAAGGCCCAATTTAACCATTAATAAAAGAAAAAATGTAGATTTTTTTTCCAGAGTTTGTCTTTTCAGGAGTCTGTCTTTTCAGGAGTTTGTCTTTCGCCAGTTTGTCCTGCATGAGTTTGTCATGGCACCTTTATTAGAATAAAACTTTGGCAAATTTGTTTTAAGGTACTGAAAAAACATATGAAATGGAGATGAATGATGAATCTTTGAATTGTATTTTTTTCTCTTCATTCAATTCCATTCACAATGTCGGTCAGCAGTGACATAAAGCGTAAATAGCGTAAAATAAGCAATATTTTTTTCTTTGTACAACTATAATGTACTACAACCATACCTATTATTGCGAGTAGAACCGGTTCTGTGTCTCGTGTACCAGCAATAGATGAAGCAGTACACGTGTACCAACCCCGATCTTTTCTTCCAACAGATTGGATTCTTAAACCCTAAACAACAATATTTATTGGATTTAAGTTAATGAGAATAAAATGTATACTACAATATCAGTTAATATGGACACTTAATGTTCGGTTTTTATTCAGTCGTTCAGTCGTATTCCTTGGTTTAGCATATACAGTACAGGGTTACCACTTCAGAGACAATATTACACAATCTTAGTTCTTACAATATGGTTTCCTGCACCTATTTTGTTGCTAAATCATTAAATATCACATTAAAAAGCATATAATAAAAAACCATAAAACCAAATAAAATTTTAAGATAGACTTTTTTCTTCCGGGCATGATCGGGTTGTTAAGATTAAATCTAGATTGTGGAAGTTTAGTGTTTCAAGTTTTAGGTTTTTATTGATCTGACAGTGCAGGGGTTCACTGTCTGGTCAAAAACCTCCTTGATTTGTTTTGCCCTTTCACGTCGCCATTAAAATCTCATCCTTAATTGATAATTAATAATCTTGTAGAAAATAACTGAATTAAGCCAGAAGGTTAGGTTAGGTTAGGTTGTGGTATATGAAGAGTTCTAGGTAGTTTTTAATACTATTGTTCTGCGTGGTAACCATACAAATTTGTATTAAAGGAATTCAGTCTTTGCTACAAACTCTGATTTTCTAATCCCTATATCTTTGCAACCCAATATCGTTGATCTTAGATATTTAAAACTATGAAACTTCTAAATTGAAATTTGTTTGGAAAAACCATGGTTATTTCAACCAGGTTACCAAGTTATAGGAATTAGAAAATTTTATTTTTTGCCAAAGGCTCAATTTCTTTACCTCTGAAGAGATTTGAACGTTTTCTGACTGTTCCACGTGAACTCCATCCTTTAACCATCTACAAATATACAAATTGCCCGTGTGAAAAAAAAACATTTTTAATTAAAAAAAAAAAAATTTCCTATTTTTGAAAAACCAATTTGCTTTTGGAAAAAAATTGTAAAATTTTTTTAACTTATGGACAGTGGACACACATGGTTTCCCTCAAAAAAAATTTCAGTCCATTTGGTCTAACTGTTTGGCCAGCTATAGCTAACATATAAATATATATAGCAAATGATTAGAACATTATTATGAAATAAAAAATATATCGTTCAAACAGTATTCTTTAATAATTGCATGATTTGTTAAATGGGCTCAAAAATTTAAAATAAAATTCAAAAATTGACAAAAATCTATCTGATAACAAATACAAATTAGAAAAAAAGTAATCAAACTTAAATCCGTCAAATATTATCTAAAAAAGACAAATAGTAAATGGGCCCGGCTGGTGGTTGTTTATGGTTTAAACGTGTTTAAAAATGATTGAATGATAGAATCAATCACATGAGAAGGATGAGGTGGGGGTGGAGTAGAGAGGGGGGGTCATTCCGCGCATTCTTAAATAATTTATGCACAACAAACTTATTTATAATCTTTATTTGAGGGTGGGGGCGAATAAAAAAGAAAAAAACTAATCTTTGCCACAAACTCTGATTTTCTTACGCCCATATCTTTGAAACCCAATGTCGTAGACCTTAGATGTTTGTTCATTTATTCATTTTTTGTTTCAATATTTTCTAAATCGGTTGATAGCGCAGTAAAAAATATTCCGTTTCTAAGTTGTATAATTTTAACTTTTCTGAAAAGTTTCTGAAATCAGCATTTTAAGACGATTTGATTAGAATATCTGTTAACTTTTAATTGTTACTGAAATAAACCACACAATAGCAACATTATACAAAGTGGGCAAAAATACAAACTGTGGTCCAGTATATAGTTTTAATTGTTACTGAAATAAACCACACAATAGCTACATTACACAGAGTGGGCAAAAATACAAACTGTGGTCCAGTTTATAGTTTTAATTGTTACTGAAATAAACCACACAATAGCTACATTACACAGAGTGGGCAAAAATGCAAACTGTGGTCCAGTATAAAGTTTTAAATGTTACTGAAATAAACCACACAATAGCAACATTATACAGAGTGGGCAAAAATACAAACTGTGGTCCAGAATAAAGTTTTAAATGTTACTGAAATAAACCACACAATAGCTACGTTATACAAAGTGGGCAAAAATACAAACTGTGGTCTAGTGTATAGTTTTAATTGTTACTGAAATAAACCACACAATAGCTACATTATACAAAGTGACCAAAAATAGAAACTGTGGCCTAGTGTATAGTTTTAATTGTTACTGAAATATACCACATAATAGCTACATCATACAGAATGAACAAAAATACAAACTGTGGTTCAGTATATAGTTTTAATTTGTTCAATCTTAGTTAAATTTTGTCGTTCAATGCTTCCACATAAATCGAATATTTGACATATAATTAAAATAATTAAATAATATAATTAAATAATTCTTTAATTAAAAACTTTGTAAATGCACTTTTTCACATTTTCGAAGCTTTCAATAATAGTTTTAAGTGCTTATAATTTCTTATCTAGATTTTTTGGATGGACCTCTTTGTATTTTATACCTAAGGGTAGGAGTGGGGTTCCCTACAGGTGGAGTACAAGGCAGGAGTGCTGGAGTACCCAGAAGTACACTTATACCTCCAGGATATCGTTCAAATTCATCTCGTAAATCTAGAAAAAACTAGAATTTGTGACCTCAATATTTACAAACATACTCTTGTTCATAATATTCTAATGATTGACAAATGCAAATTCACCAGGAGCTAAATTAGTGGAACGGGTAAATTATATATTATTTAATGAGTGTTTTCGACTTTTTTAACAGTCTATACCTACCTACCTACCAGCTAACATACCTACCTACCTACCTACCTACCTACCTACCCACCGATCTGTACCTAACAACTTAAAATTATCGACAATTTGTAAACTGATGTTTATTGAGTCCCTGATGATGTATGTTTAGAAACTAGGAAGGTAAGTATCTGGAGCTTTGTAGTAAATTGATTAAATAAACAGATATAGAAAATACAGATGCAAATCTTAATACATTTTGTAAAGTGGAAATGTAAGTGTTTATATTCAGTAAAAACAAATTGTATTATTTACTCTCAGAAAATGGAAATTTAAACCACCTTGGGATTCAATAATAAACCCTTGGGCAACGCCCTAGGGTTTATTATTGAATCCATCGAGGGTTTGTTTGTTAAGAACTGGTTTAATCATGGATCGGCATATAGTCTTATAACTGAATGTGTATTTATCTTACAACTATTAATGGAATAAAAAATACTATCAACAATTATTCCAAAACAACGTGATATTAAAAAGATGAAGATTGGATATTTTGAATTTTTATTAAAGTCTAAACAAAAGAACTTAAGGCAATACTAGCTATATTAGATTAAATAAACATATGCCAACTTTACTAAGTATAAAATAGTGTAGGTTCACTGAGATATAGACCAACTGAAAGTTAGTCAACAAAATTTTAGAAAGGCACCATTAAATTATCGTAACGCCATGGCCTTCCGCTTTACCTCACCAACTCATACTCTTTTGTTGCCCTAGGCATATACATTTTAAGGTTAAAAAGAGTGATTGCAAAGTCCTGCTCGATTTTACGAGAAAGAGCGTGCATATCTTGATTTGCATAGAGTAAAGCGGATGGAGGGGGAGGGAAATCTACATATTATATATGTATATATCTACGTAGGCGTCTCTTCATTTAAATATTATCCGTGGTTCAAAGGAAATAATTGGATATGTGTAGGCAGGTACAATAGTTAGCGACACATTGTATATATATATATATCAGACCATACGAATGCCTAGATAGATTGTGGACATGATACTATATTATATAATTTATTTAGAAATAATCTATTAAGACATTAAAAGAAGTAATGATGATAAATGAAGATACGCCCACGTTTGATAGTCAGTGTCAGTTCGTCACAACAGCAAAAACTAAACTAAAGGAATTAAGTCTTTGCCACAAAATCAAATTTTCTAATGCAAATATCTTTGCAACCTAAAGAGGGAAACCTTTGATATTTCAAACTTAGATCATTTAATCAATAGTTTGAAATATCTAAGGTCTACGACATTGGGTTTTAAGATATAGTGATTAAAAAATCTGAGTTTGTGGCAAAGACTCAATTCTTTTACATGTACGCATAATCAATACATCATATACGTATTGTTTTATATCCAGTTTCTTCCTACCTATATCACAATCAAATCAAATCAGACTTCTACTTTCATACTTTAAAGATAAAAATCACTTACGAGGTTTATAACATCATATATATTATCAAGTATTTCTCTTTTCAGTCGATAATAAATAGATATATATGTAATATATATATAAATAAAGCGTATTTCATTAAGTTTGCCTCAAGGTATACTAAAGTAGGAGAGGTATAATTTAGCAAGACCAAATATGATCCTCGAAATTAGTGGAAATGACTTGGAGGAATTCAAACAAAAGACTTGAACCACGTTTTTCTATTATTTAAGAGATACTTGAAATATTTAACAATGAGATTCTTCAGTTAAAGATTCGAATTCAAGTTTCAAGCTTTAGGATGTAAAATACAGAAATTTTTGACTATTCTATATTTTTTAAAACCAAAAGTTATTTTTACATAAAGACAAAAAATTATATAAAAAATGTTCTTTTTATTATATTATATTCATTTATAAAAATAAGACGAGGTGATTATCTGGGGGAAAAACTTTACTTCAGAATCTTGATAGATCCTATTTTATAAAACAAAATATACATATATCTTGAACTGTGACTTACATGCAACATCAAGGGTAGCATTTCTACTTCTGGTTGAACCAGCAGCATTGCTGGCTACACACCAGTATACACCACTATCCTGAAATCATATTTTTATATCATATGTGGAGCTGGAAACAAATTGAGTCTTTGTCACAAACTCATTTTCTTTGCAACTCAATATCGTAGGCCTTGAGATTTTTTAAACAATGAATTCTGCTGGATCAAATAATTTAAGTTCGAATTATCAAAGTTGTGCACACTCGTCCATCAGGCTGCAATAATACATGAATTTAAACATTTCAGTTTGTGACAAAGGCTTAATTCTTTTGGATGAGACAGGGGCCCCAATGAACAAGAAACAGTAATGTAAGACATCAGAAAGTTTTTTTTATGTTCGAACTATATTGAACACAATTTTCTCTCACTTTAATACAATCTGGAAATGAAGAAGTGAGAATAAATCAATCTTGGACAAAGGAACTGAGTTTTTGCTACAAAATTGAATATTCTAATATCTATATCTCTGCATCCTCATGGTTTAATCCTTGGAGATTTCAAACTTAGATTATTTAGTCTAACATAAGGTTACCGACATTGGGTTGAAAAGATATAGGGATTGGAAAATCTGAGTTTGTGGCAAAAACTCAATTCCTTTGTGTGCTAATAAATTTGTTTCAATATGGTTACTTAGATAATGCTACATAAACGGAAGAGTAGACAGGTTTTATAAAAGGAAGTATACAACGTAAAAGCTTTCTGAGTTTTAATGTGGATATAAAGCTAAACAATTTTTTAAAACGTCACAAAATTCATGTTGGTATTGCTTACCAAAATATAGAGAAAAATATTTGATAAGATTAAAAATATGATTAATTAATGTTAATTCTTAAATAAATTAAATTAAATGTCAATAAATAGATTAATAGATATCGATATCAAACCAAGTTTATGGATATTTGATCTTAAAGAAAAGTATATTTTGATAACAATTTAAAGCAATATTTCTGACCCCCCCCCCTTCCCTCCCTCTCTAACCCCGGCCCTAATTATAACATATGAAATGGTTCAATGTAAATGTTTTTATCTAACAACTTAAATCTGGGAACTAATTCAAAGTAAAAAATTAAGTTTTTGCCGTTATTAAAATGTATTCTTATTTTTGCTGTACCTGTTCTTTCTTACTGTGTGCAGCGCGTAGAAAGAATAAACTTCCGTCCGGTAGAACAATTCTACAAATAGGTTTATTTAAACTTCCGTCCGGTAGAACAATTCTACAAATAGGTTTATTTAAACTTCCGTCCGGTAGAACAATTCTACAAATAGGTTTATTTAAACTTCCGTCCGGTAGAACAATGCTACAAATAGGTTTAATTAGTTAAAAGTTTTTTTTTATAAATCCTGTACTGAAAAATCAAACAGTGTAATGTACGCATGAAGATCCAGGCTGTTTAAAAAGTTGAATACATTTTCAGGACTGGATCAATTCAAAATGGTCGCAACGCCTTGGCCTTTGATCTATACTAACAAACTTACTTCTACTTTTGTTGTAGCCCTTATTTTATAACCAGGTACTTGTTTTTAGCTTTAGTTTTTAAGAAGAAATTGACAAAGGAATTTTAAACTAAGAATTCTGTTGGATCACTGTGCACACTGTATTGTATATCGTGTAGTATATGATTGTTGGGTTCCATAAATAAATTTGTAAAAGTAAGCCTGTCTGATATAAAGCACCCAGTTTATGTTTTAGAATTACCATATTTTGAAAATTATTGTTATTTATTGTTTTTAATTTAGTTCCTACACTGAAGGGGGATTATTGCCAGGGGGTAAATTAAGTATTCTAGCTGCGGACTAAGTTTCACAGTTTTTTCTTCATTTTCCACCCTTAGGTTTTTTTTTCTCCCTGATCATTACTGTTTTCTAGTTTATACTTTCTAATTAGATTTTACAAAATTATTTATTAAAAATAAACATGGGAATTCGGTGAAGATTTTGATATCTTCATTGTAACTGCTTTTTTTATTTAAAATGGTGATGCCTTCTAAGGAAATCTATAATCCGTAAACATTTCGTCTGCTAGAGTTAATAATTTGTTTGTTTATGTTTTGATTCCCGTAAACAAACAAAGTACAGTTGTTCCTCTCCACCAAGAATGTAAGGCAAGGAAAGTATCCGAGGAGGTTAAAAGCATTAAATTTTGATAATTTTGATAATTCACTTAATAATTTCCTATGACTAGAATATTTCATTGATTTTTTATGTGAATCATGGATCCCATGTCAGGCTTCGACATCCGTCTTGTGTTTACATTAGCGCCCAGAGACAGTACACTGCAGTACTAAAGATGTGTACACTTCTGAAATGACTTTCCTTGCCTTACATCCTTGCTCTCCACTGTTTATCTTGCAGAAATGTTATACAATGCGCGGTTTGAAGAATAACAAAACAGTCCTACCGTTAACATAAAATATACTCAATAAGCTGACGTAACTTTATTTTGACCATTACAATTAGGTAATACAACGTTAATTCTTCACAAAGACGATTTCAAATTTGTTTTTTATATTCCCATGTTTATAGGGATACACTGTATAATAAGTTATCAAGTGAGTTAATGTCAAAATGATTGATTACCTGTGACTTAAAGGATCAGCTGGAGCTGTAGAGACAGGTTGACCGTCTTTATACCAATTGATATTCCTACCTGTGACTTGAAGGGTCAGCTGGAGCTGAAGAGACAGGTTGACCGTCTTTAGACCAATCTATTTCCTACCTGTGACCTTAAAGGGTCAGCTGGAGCTGTAGAGACAAGTTGACCGTCTTAAGACCAATCTATTCCTTACCTGTGACTTGAAATGTCAGCTGGAGCTGTAGGGACAGGTTGACCGTCCCTATACCAATAAATATTCCTACCTGTGACTTGAAGGGTCAGCTGGAGCTGTAGAGACAAGTTGACCATCTTTATACCAATCTATTTCCTACCTGTGACTTGAAGGGTCAGCTGGAGCTGTAGAGACAAGTTGACCATCTTTATACCAATCAATCATAGGTTCAGGTTCCCCAGTAGCCTAGGCGAATATTTAAGGTTTTTGAGATCATAATTCACAGAGATCCAAACAGCTATGAAAAGTTTTAAGACTGGGTAAACGTCAAAGTGTTGCAATGACTCGGCCTTACTAACTCACTTATACTCTTGAGTATGAAGACTACTTTTAGACTCAAGTTATGACTTTAAATAGTTTAATGAACATGAGACACAGAACGTGTGCGGTCATTTAACTTAATAACTGATTTCTAGGTATAATGCTTTAATGTAGTTTTCCTACTCCATTTTTTTTCTGGCGTTCACTGTATATTGATAAATTGTATAAATAGGTAATAACACTTTAAGGCTGTGGTTGCGGGTTAAAAATCCAATTATTTATTTAACAATGTATATTTTCAAATTCATTAAACCGTACATTTATGCTAAAACTTAAATAATTTAATTATCCCTCTGACGAGCTGTATTCAGGCTTTTAATTGAGTAATTTTTAAATACAGCGTTACAGAATATTCAAAACATCTAAGAAAGGTATAAAGCCCCCCAGGCTAACCAGGGTGAAATGCATTTGGTTTCTAAATACAGCGTTACAGAATATTCAAAACATCTAAGAAAGGTATAAAGCCCCCCAGGCTAACCAGGGTGAAATGCATTTGGTTTCTTCGATTTGAATTCCAATAGAGTTTTTTTTATACTTTTTCGTTTAAATCGAATATTCTGACAAAAAAGCAAAATAGGAAATGGCGGAAATATCATTTTTCACAGTTCTCTGCGATAAGGACCGAACACGCACCCCTGACCCTTTAGTAAAAGTAAATTCAACCGAAAGTCTGACCGCGTCAACCTTATAGCACACCGGCTAGTCATGTGCTAGTCCTATTAAGTGTCTGCTTTATTTACCCAACGTCCGGGCGAAACAGTACAAACTGGTTCCGGAAAGGTTGACCCGGCTCGGAAATTCAATTGTACCACGGGTGCCCGTGCGAACCGTTAAATCCGCTTAAAAATGCATTTATAACAAACGAAACGATATTAGACCTTTTAAAGCGTCATTATGGATATATAGATATAGATATATCTTCATTATTCATTAGATTAATGGATTTTAATCGAGTTTTCCTAGAATTTAAATTATCAATTTCCACTGCACTAGGCGAACAAATAGACCTGAAGGAATTGAGTCTTCGGTGCTAATTTTCAAAACATATATCTTTGCAACCTGATGATGGTGCAAACCTGTAATATTTCAAAACTAAAGATTCTTTTGATGTAACAGAATTCATAGTTTGAAATATCCAAGGTCTACATTGTTTGGCTGCACAGATATAGCAATTAGCAAATCAGAGTTTGTGACAAAAAAATCAATTTTCTTATTCATCTCCAGATTGTTTATTTATAAGTGTTTGAATGAAAGCTCATTAAAAATTATGAGTGAAGAGAAAGCTAAAAATGTACTATAATATCCTACCTTACAGTTTAGTGTTACAGGTTCATTTCTAGCAACCATCATATCTCTGGGGTGTTCAAGAACCAGGGGGGCCTTCTCTCCGTATACACAACTACACAGAAAACAAAAATATAAAAAGAGCAGATACAGCTCAGAAACATATTTTGACATGTTCTAGAAAAAATACTGAATTAAAAAAAGAATGTTCATAAGAAAAGAGAAATGAAAAGCTAAGGAATTGAGTCGTTGTCACAAACTCTGATTTTTAAATTCCTATATCTTTGCAACCCAATGTTGTAGACCACTGATATTTCAAACTATATATTCTGTTAGATCAAATAAACTAAGCTTGAAATAGCTAAGGCTTACACTATCAGGGTTGCAATGATATAAGGAATTAGAAAATTTGACTTTGTGGCAAAGACTCAATTCCTTTGTATACACTTTCCCCATGATTAGCATATAACAGACCCATTCATTTTTTGCAGCTCTTGCCACAAACTGTGATTTTTTATTCCGATATTTTTGCATTCAAATGTCGTACACAATCGACAGATGAATTCTATTTAGAATGAATGGTATAAGTATTAAATGTGTAAGGTTTACATCATAAGGTTCAAAAGGTATTTAATAGAAATTTTGAGTTAGTGACAAAAAGTTCGATTCTCTAATGATTGAATCGAAAGTATATGGTTGATTATTCCACCTACCTAAGTAAACACAGAAGGTAGAGTTCATGTTTCATATTTACTATGCTCGCTATGCTTGATTCAAACTTTTTGATAAATAGATAGGTTCATCTCCATACTTATCACTCTTCAACTCTTATCCATAATATCACTTCAAATCACTTGTTATTACTGCTAAATGCACCAAACTCTCTGAGTGATTTTAAGTTTTCTTTTTAAACTTTTCTCAAGTTTTCAAGTTTCCCCTGAGTGGAAGAGTTTCCAGGTTAAATAATTAATGCATGTGTTGTGTTCTACTGTACATATTCTCATGGACTCAAAGTTTGAACTGGAAACTCTTTTTCTTTCTGAAACAAACAATTTAAATAATTTTAAATTTTCTTACAAAACTTTAAAGCTTAATCTTATAGAAATATTAAATTAGGCCCAGAACAAATTATTTTTGTTAGTTCATTATTTTTCTTGAGCACAAAAAAAAACCAAAAGAATGATTGAATCAATAGCAAGGGACAAGATATAATCTAAAAAGGTGTTAAAGCAATATCGAATAACATGGAAGTTCCTTTCAGTATACTAAATAAATTTTCCCAAAAAATTATAAAAAAAAAAAAATTCCCGTTCTTTGTTTTTGTTTCTTCCATTTTAGTTTCAAGAGATGAAAACAAAACCCTCCAATAGCATTATAATAATCACACGCACCTATGCCCCTTTAGTAAAAGTAACTTCAACATAAATGAAGCATAATTAGTCTGACCGCGTCAACCTTGTTGCATTGGCTAGTCTTGTTGATTGTCTGCTTTATTAACCCAATTTCCGTGCGGTACAGTACAAACTGGAACCGGAAAGGTTGACCCGGCTCGGAAATTCAAAAGTACTACGACTGCCCGTGATCATAATAACGACTGGCAGCCTCTTACCGTTAAAAATACCCTTTGCATCATAAATTTAAAAAAAGGGAAAAAATTGATAAAGCATAACAATTGTTTCTGCAATCTGTTTACGACTTTTTCATATTTGAAACTTAAAACCTTTAATTGACTTTTTAAATTTCAAAGATTTAAATTAAATATTGAAATATTAAAAAAACAGTTTTATAAATGATTTTTCTTTTCTGAAGATCTTGTTAGCAATAAAAAAAAACTGCCGGATATTATCAAAATGGTTTTCTTCAGTTTTAATATAAAAATAGTTATAATATTATATAAATTAATTATATATATTCAGATAATTATATACAAAAGAAAAAAAATTGATAAAGCGTCAAAAATGTTTTTGCAATCTGTTAGTAACTTGTCCGTACTTCTAACTTAACTTAAAACACTCAATTCGCTAAAATACTTAAAAAGGAATTCAGTCTTTGCCACAAACTATGATTTTCTAATCGCTATATCTTTGTAATCCAATGCCGTAAACCTTAGATATTTCAAACTATGAATTCTGTTAGATGATAAAATCTAATTTTGAAATATTAAAGGTTTACACAATGGAAAAAATAAAGGTATTAGAAATTCAGAGTTTGTTGCAAAGACTCAATTCCTTTCTATTAAACATTGAAATATTAATAAAAAGTTTTTTAAAAGGGCTCAGAGAATTGTGGATTCTAGATTTCAGTTTGAAAGGATTTAAAAGAAAAACTTCCGAAATGATCTGAATTTTAAAATTCGGCTTAAAATTCTGTTTCTTCTATTGACAAACTTCCCTTAAACAATTTGCTAAAGGTGTTCTTATTTTTATTACTATTTCAAAAATTAAAAATATTATATTACCCTATGAACGCACAAAGAACATCTAAATCTGTTGTTATGATGATTTAAAAAAAAATTCAACTTGAAAGAACCTGTTCAGAATGCACTTTGCACTGATTGATTCTGATTATTTTGCAAGGACAGAGAAAACACAACGAAGCTGCAAACCAAAAAAAAATGCAAATTCAGAACTGTAAGCGTAATTTTAAGTGACCCTCAATGCAAAGATGACATGTGCCCGATATACAACGGTTAAACGTTTTATTTTCGTTTGTGGTTTACCTGAACAAGGGACTTTACTTACTGTTTACTGTTTACTTACTGTTTACTGTTTACTTACTGTTTACTGTTTACTTACTGTTTACTGTTTAAAGAGCTTGTTATGAAAGTGCTAAAAGATATATTTATAATTGTGAAAATTGATGTAAAGCAAAGCATGATTGGCAACGAAATCATCTGCAAACCCTGTTGCTGAATTGCAATATTTTTTGGGCATTTATTACCCTTAGACGGATTTTTTCTGCTTGTGTTCACACTTTCTGTTTGTTTTATTGATTTGCTGTCCCGGTTAGTTTGTTATAATATCTTAGAGTGGAGCCCAACAGTGCAGTGTTGTGAAACATGTGATAATATCAGAGATACGATCTATCCATCGATCCAATCCTTCAAATTTCAGATATTTTACAGGGTTACCCATAAAGGATGAGACTTCAGAGACGATTGTACAGTATTTATACTGTCTGTTTCCTATTATTTATGTTTCAAGTCGTATTTACAGTCTAATTCTTTGCGGGTAAACCTGTATATTACCAACTCATGAATACATATAACCAACTTGCATATTACACTCTCCTTTTCAATTATCTTCAATTTTATATAACTTATAGGTCTTCACTTTAAGGGACTGTCAGCGTAGATTGAATTGACCAAATCATGCAAAGATGGTGATGTCCGATTCACAATAGCATCCTTGGAACCTAGCTTTATCTGATCAATAATGTGAAAGATATTGTCGTTTTCTATCTTTAAAAATGCTAAATTTGGCTAGTTCCTTTATGCATTCCTGCCTTAGAAATGCGCAAGGAAAATGAAAGGAATGGAATACGCAAATGAAGAACAGGAAAAAGAAAATGGGGAAATACTCTGTGCAGCTAGAATGGAGAGAGGGAGGGAGGGGGGAAGTTACGTGGATAAGGGGAAGTTAGTATTGATCGTGTTCTATGGTTTATTAGTAAATCTGCAACTATATTTCCTGTGGATCACATTACATACATATATATTATATAAACTACCAGTGACATGTAATTTATACCATTGAGTATTTCAAAGTGGCAGCCTAAAGCTTTTCAGAATTTGAAAATTTTAAAGGGAGTTTTTGCGGAAAAAGGAGGCATAATCCGTATTAATTGGATTCGATCCTTGCTAATTTAACTTCTATCTATCTGCGTTTGAGTGTTATATTGCAACTTATATAGTTAAATTATTAGCATAGACTCTCAGATCTTTAGTATTAAGCATTTTTAACCTTTCTCTCCATATAAATAGATGCTATGCACGGGCAGCCGTATACATTTGAATTTCCGAGCCATGCCAACCTTTCCGGTCCCAGTTTGTACTGTAGTCAGTTCTATGGACAGGGCTTACACGGTGCAACATGGTCGACGCGGTCAGACTTTATGCTTCATATAGGTTTAATTTACTTTTATACTAAAGAGGCAAATTTGCGTGTATGGATAGATCTCTCCATATATATAGATGCTATGGATAGATCACTCCATATATAGATGCTATAGATAGATCTCTTCGTATATATAGATGCTATGGATAGATCTCTCCATATATAGATGCTATGGATAGATCTCTTCATATATATATATATATAGGTGCTATGGATAGATCTCTCCATATATATAGATGCTATGGATAGATCTCTCCATATATATAGATGCTATGGATAGATCTCTATATATATATATATATATATATATATATATAGATGCTATGAATAGAAGTAAAATTAGTTGCGATCTAATCCAAACAAAAAAAACATAAAATGCTCAAATTCGCTTTAAAGGAGTGTTCCAAAAATGGCTGCCTGGATTTCTTTGTATTTAATTCAAAATAATCTCATTTTAACATAAATAAAATATGCTTATGGCTACAATTTACATAAAAGATTTAATAGATTGATTTTGAGATATAATTAGAATCGAAAAAGAATAAGACAAAAATTGCAGATAACCGCACTGTTTTTTAAACTTAATTATACTCAAATAAAAACAGTGCACACTGAAAAAGTGTTCAGTATAAACAATACAGTATGAACTAGAAAATTCTGGAATATAAAGACGACTTTTAAACTCAAGTTCTTACTTGAAATACCCCAATAAACATGAGGCACAGCAATTGTGCAGTGTAAACAGATCCATTTCACTTAATAAGGTCTAGTAAAACTATTTGCTTTGTAACAACATAAAAAAACTTAAGTTTTGCATCAATGTCGTCTTTCTATTATACAGTTTTCTGGTTCTAACTGTAACCTATAGAACGACAAATCTGTATATTTTTTTCATTTCCATGTTTTTTTATTAAATTATAGAGACATTACGTTAATTAAGAATGTTTTAATACTTCACAGAGAAAATCCATTCAGAGATTAAAGAATTTGGAGATTAAAGCAAACTTTGAAATGAAAACTATTTAATAAAATATTAAATTAAACCTGTCAAATTCATTCATTAGTTTTCATTTCAGTTTTGTAGATCGTTCTTTTTATTATTATACAAGTTGTTAAAATGTGAATCATACGATATCCGTGCATAATTGGTGACTTCAAAAATAACACCAAATACATCTATAATATTGAAAATAATGTTAATAATTAGTCCAAGTACCCGGCGTTGCATGTGCAATTTTAAAACATTTTGCAAAAAAAATATCGAATTTGAAAAAAAAATTTGAACAAAAAACAATTTGATTTTTTAGCTTTTGTCACGCCCTGGGAACGAGGAACTTTATTATATAGATGTAACAAAAAACAAAATTTGAGATGAAAATGAAAACCCCGGTCAAATTAACACTTTTTCTACGTATTTTAGACACAATGAGTATCATTCAAAAGACACGGTTGGTGTCGATATGTTTCACCAAGGTACTAATGCATGGAAAGTTATTTTAGAGGTGTAAGTACTTTTTGTACTGCAGTGTACTGTCTTTGTGCGGAAAAGTAAACACAAGACGGATGTTATAGCCTGTCATGGAATCCATTTCACAAAAATAGTCTAAGAAATATTCTGGTCATAGGAAACTAGTATGTGAATTTTCAAAATTATCAAAATTAAATGCTTTTATCCTCCTCGGATACTAAACGAACACTGATGCATCTATTCTTGTTTACAAATTCCGCCCAGAGAGAACTGGTTTCAATATTTATGCAGAGAATACGCGACCACAATTTACCTTCCTTGCATTAGTACCTTGTGTTTCACTATATAATGTTTTCCATGTAAAGATTGTGGCCAAGATAAATTTTCCCGTGAATTTGATAAAGCTGTTTCATTTCCACAGAAATCAAAAATTATTCAAAATAGGTTTATTT